ACTTTAAGCAGCAAGTGGAGCATGTCAGTGCCAAAGCGTCAGTAGTGAGGGCTAGTTTCGCACGACTGATGCCGAACTTCGGAGGCCCAAAGCAGAGCAGGAGGCTATTACTGTCATCAGTAGTCACATCGGTGCTCACTTACGAAATATCCATTTGGGCCGACGCACTTAAGACGCAAGAATCATGGAGAAAGGCTGGACCAGTATATCGACTGAGTGTCCTACGAGTAGCTAGCGCCTTTCGCACAATATCTGAGGATGCAGTGTGTGTTATTTCCGGTACTCTGCCTCTCAGAGTCCTAGTTGAGGAAAGACGGAACCTATATCAGCGAAAAAGGTTAACCACACTGAGCCCTGAAGAACTTAGAAGCGAAGAACGGCAATACAGCATCGCAAGATGGCAACAAGATTGGAACGCTTTAGATAAGGGTCGGTGGACGTACCGTCTCATACTTCGGATTGATGAGTGGTTCAACCGGAGTCATGGTGAGATCAACTATTATTTAACGCAGATGTTATCAGGACACGGATGTTACCGGAAGTCTCTCCACCGCTTTAAGCATGACGATACCCCAGAGTGCCCGTCTTGTCCAGGGGTCAATGAAGATGCGGATCATGTCTTCTTTGTGTGTCCACGTTTTAACCAACAGCGCAATGAGTTAGAGAGGATTCTGAAGAAGAGAACCCAACCAGCGTCAATAGTAGAGGCAATGTTGTCGTCAGAAGCTGCCTGGAACGCCACGAGCATTTTTGCTACAAAAGTGCTTACTGAGTTGCGATCCATTGAGAGGAAAAGAGCGAAAGACAGAATCTAGAAGGAAGATAACATCTTAGCCACCAGAAGGAAGAGCGGCAGCTAATTCCTCCCCCCGCGAAGAAATGCCTTACGGCGGTACCATGGGGGATCAGAGGATAGAAGAGAAAGGGGTTTAGGGTTTAGTGGGTAGGGGCGTCAGCGTCGAGTTTTAGTATGACGCTGCGTCGAGTCGCCACATATCCAGGCCAACATCTATGCCTAGAATCCGTAAAAAAGATTCCCCCCCCCTAAGGAAAAAAAAAAAAAACACACACACACACACACACACATACAGACATAGTGACACCATCGCGGGAATAGTCAGGGAAGCTTCCTAGGACCTCAAAGCGTCGAGATCTGATGAAAACTCGACTTTCGAAAAACGGGATTAAAACAATAACTTCCCAATTTTTGAAAATTTTCAATTTTCTTAGCGGGAAGTTAAAAAAGCCATAAAGGTAGGCTTGAATAATTTTTTAGTATTTTTTTCTCAAAAGATGCATTTAAAAACAAAAATTTCAAAAAAGAACGTCTCAGTAAGTCAAATTTTGAAGAATTTATAACTATTTTTTCAAAAATACATAACTTTTTTTTGGTTGAGTAGAAAAATTAAAAAAAATTCTGAAAAATGTCTTCTATAGGGTAGGAAAGGATAAAAATATATATTTAATACGTTTTTGACGAATTTCAACTAAAAAATTAAACAAATTTCCATGTCCTACATCAAGCGTTTGAAAAGTTCATTCATTTTGATCTACTATATTCCTGCAATCCCGCTACGAAAACCCAATTTATTTGTTTTTCGATCCGTAAAACAAACATGTATGTAAAATTTCTGGTGGAACTATTTCAAAAATAAATTTCTAAATATTACCAACGTGCAATTTTGTATCGAATTTATTATTTACCATCAATGTGACATTTTTCGTAGTAAAATTTTAATTGGTGTTACGCATATAATAAGTGGAATTTTATAACTCTCCAACAATTCATCAAGGAGTCAAAACAGAAATTATTTTTATAGGGAATTGAACACCCTCCAAAAGAGGTTTCCTATGATTTTTTGATAAATTGAATCCTTCAAAGATTCTTATATGTATTAGGGTATCCGTTATTTCCCAAGTTGATTTTTTTCTCACTGCCGCCCCCTGGGTTTTTAGTTCTTAACCTAAAAAAAAATATCTTACATAAATAAGCTCTTAATTCCCAAATTAAACCGAGCCCGAATCGAGTTACATTTCCCATTTAAATAACATGGGAATTTGGAACTTTTTGTAATTCATTTTTTTCCTTCGAAATCCCATATTCTGATGGGAAATTGAATGCTGTACAAAAAAGTTCTCTTATAATTTTTTGATAAAATCAATCCTTTAAAAGTTATTTGTGGTTTAAGTTGTGTATTTAATTATTATCATAGTTTTTCAGTTTTGCTATGAAGTTCCATGTGTTACAGTCATTTATTTTATCTATAAATGTTTCAAAAATTTTATTAAAAAGATTAACAGTTACAGCAACGTTAACAATGCAATGTATCGAATACATTCTTAATGATATTGCCGCTAATATGTATTTTTTCTGTCTCTATTCACATTTACTTGTTAAGCTATTTTTAGTCGCATTTTTAGAGTGCCGATGAAATCAAATTTTACAAACCAGGTGCATTTTACCATGCACGATAGATGTCAAAAGCAATTTATTCGCTGAAAATATATATTTTTCAAGACATTTTCAAGTTAGATCTTGAAACACAACAAAATCTTTTGGAGATTTGTTCATTCATACGCGGATAAAAAATTTAACTTGTCTCAAGATCAAAAATCTTGAACCAAAAACACCATTTTGAAGAAAATGATACTCTTGAGTCAAGAAGAAAAATTCTTAAATCAAGAAAATTTTCTTGAACTAAGAAATATATCTTGACTCGAGAATTTTTCCCCTTGACTTAAGAAATTTTTTTTCTTCAAAATGGTGTTCTTGGTTCAAAATTATTGCTCTTGAGTCAAGTTAAATTTTTCATCAGTTTAGTATTTATTTATGTGTCATTTTGGTTTGTGGCACCTCTTGCAGCATCAGTTCCATACCAAGATTTAAATTATATCAAGACTGTGTATCAATACAAGACGACTGATAAAAAAGTTTCTGAGGCAGTATTGCACAAATTCAAAAACCATCTGTGGTATTTAACTGGTGAAAAAACTACTTAGGCTTTTTTCACCCGATGAAAAAAGTTTTTGTCTAATTATATAAGATCATATATACCCTGATAAAAAAAAGTATTGAGACAAAGAAGAAAATATTGAACAGTATTGGTCTTCTAGTTAATCCAATACTTTTCAATACTTTTTCCTTTGTTTCAATACTTTTTTTTATTCAGGGTAATTATATATAATCATATATGAGATAATATATAATCATACATGATTAATTGATTATATAATAGGGTCATATATAATCATACATGATTATATATAAGCCCATACATAATTAGATCTGATCATACCTGGTTGTTATAACCCCATATATAATCATATATGAGTCCATATATGATCGGATCTGATCATATATAAGTCTATATATAATTAGATCTGATCATACCTGGTTGTTATAACCCCATATATAATCATATATGAGTCCATATATGATCAGATCTGATCATATATAAGTCTATATATAATTAGATTAATTTACTTTTTGTAAATTTTAAACCGGATAAAACACGGTAATCGATTGGTTCTAAAACAGTAATTTTTTTTTTTTAAGTTTTCTAAAAATGTAGAGTGATTTGAAAAATATGTAAAATTTATTTATTTTCATTTAATTAATAAAAAAATTAATTTTTTAAATAAAAAATTTTAAAATATCAATTTCTCAATTGAAAAAAAAATTGAAAAGTACATAATTAATTGAAAAGTTCTAGAGCAACTTTGAAGATTTTTTTTTAAATTCATACATTTTACCTTTTTATAATTTATATCGTAAATCTGCCATTAAATATATTAAATAAAAAAAATTAAAAATGTTGCGTTATATATAAAACGCGTTTTAAATGATGCCATAAGGGCGTATAAAAATTATACGCCCTTATAGCACCCGGGAACCATAAGGGCGTATAATAAAAATTCAATTTTTTTTTTCTGCCCTCCGGCCGGAAAGTGGCAACTTTCTGGCCGCTGCGCTAAACAAAGTTGCCACATTCCGGCTACGTCGAGCAGAAAAATAGTATACACACCTTGGCCAGTAAAAAGTAAAGCCTCAGATCACATGTTTGTCAACCTCGGCTTCGCCTCGGCCAACAATTACATGTGATCTGAGACTTTTCTTATTTTACTGGCCTAGGTATGTAATATACTATTCATAATATTCTTGAAATATGCTTTGCAGAATCCAATTATTTTGAAGCGTTAAAATGTGATGAAAATTTCGATTTTAATTTCCCCTAAACGCTATATAGTTAATTGAGATAATAAAATTATCAATTTACAAAAAAAAGATTGATTTTCTTATAAAATAAATTGATTTTCATCAATTGAAATTCAATTAAATTTTTTGTTCGATTCAACACAAATAAAAATTTCCTAGAAATTAACTTTGAAACATGGGCTACCAATAACGATTGTTTAGAAAGATTTAACATCGTTACTAATTTACAATTGTAACGATGTAGCCGAAAGAGCGTTTCAATTAATTCAAGATACATCAACATTTTAACTCATGAAAAAGAAAAAAAACAATATTTAGTGCAAATTATTCATAAAAACAAAAATACTCATCGCATTGTTAACGTTACTGTAACTGTTAATTTTTTTGATAAAATTTTTGAAACATTTATAGATGAAATAAATGACTATAACACATGAAACTTTATAGAAAAACTGAAAAACTATGATAATAATGATAATAATTAAATACACAACTTAAACCATAAATAACTTTTAAAGGATTGATTTTATCAAAAAATTATAAGAGAACTTTTTTGTAAAGGATTCAATTTCCCATCAGAATATGTATCGATCATAGTCGTGGTGGCATTTTTTTCGAAGGAAAAAAATGAATTCCAAAAAGTTCCAAATTTCTATGTTATTTAAATGGGAAATGTAAATCGATTCGGGCACGGTTTAATTTGGTAATTAAGAGCTTATTTATGTAAGATATTTTTTTTAGTTCAATAACTAAAAATCCAGGGGGCGGCATCGAAAAAAAAATCAACTTGGGAAATAACGGACACCCTATTATGTATACCCTATTCTGTTATAGCAGAGAATACAAAAAGCCAATTTGAAACTAAGATGTGTGGACTGTTCGATGAAAGCGAGATCTAGTAATAAAACTTTCGATTCAACAAGTTCTTTCAAAGTTTTAAAACAATACGATTTTGACAGAATCAAAATGAAGTCAGTGATCCGTGTATAACCAGCCCAAACTGAACATTTTCTGGCTATCAAAATTCACAATAGCTTGAAATTGTCTTGTATTGATGGACTATAAAATTATATGCATCAAAACATGAATTTTCTACTCAAACTATATGAAAAAATACTTATTATTTTGAGTTAATACCTTAAAAACTTCAGAAAAAAAACCTTCGCCAATTTTCTCCATAAAAAAGTCATCCAACCTATTTAGAGATAAAACAGCATGTTTTAATGCTTGACAAGATGCACCAGTTCTTCTTTTGGCATTATTTTCTTGGGTATGGTCGCTATGACACTTTTCAACCAGACACAGTGAGTTGCTTTCGAACTCTGTAGGCCTCCAGGGATCTCTACATTTTTCTCTATTTTCATATTTTATTGGGGAAGACTGTAATTCTGTAGGTAAATCTAATGGCAAGAAGTTTTGACAATTGGTCTGAATAGTTTGATTATATTTTTCATCTGCTGAAGACATTGATACTAAATTAGAGTGAACTAAATGAAATTTTTTTTTATCTAAATTTGTTGGCTGAAAAATAATATTAGAGTGATCACCAGCTATAGAATCATTACTATGAATTTCTGAGTAATTTTTATCAGAATTTTTACATGAAATTTTATCAGATGTTATTGACATCGCTGATTTTGATTTCAATATCTTACTTATGTGTTTATCTTTATTAATTAATTCAGTACCACTAGGCTTTTTGTTGACATGGATATTTTGATGTAATGGTAATTGTTTTGAAGTAGTAAACGACTCTTTACATGCTGGTATATATAAGTAATTTAAACCAGAGAAAGATGTTTTTATTATCGGTTCAGGAGCACCACTAGAAAGAAGATATTTTGATCTTGAATCATCCAAGAGTTTCGAACAATCGAGGTTAATTGAGCATTTATGAACACTTGAATCAATTGTTGAGGATAATTTTGGTTGTGAAATAATTTTATTTGCTTGATTAACATTCAAGTTGTTGGAAAACTGAATATGATTATTGTAAGCATTTTCTGATGTTAAACAATCAACTATAACTGGATTATCCTCTTTGGTTTTCCAAGCCTTTAATTTTTTTTCATTATTTAGAGTCGTACTTTCATCCACTGAAAAACATGACAAACATTTATTTGAAGTTTTTAACCCTTGTTTTAATTGTAATACACCAAGAGGTCCAGAAACGTTTGTAGTAGACGTATTTCCTAACATGTTTTTTTCTCTTTTAATGCTACAATTACTGTTATACAGTAAATTTATGCTGCAAAATAAGATACTACATTGTAACTATTGATTATCTTACTGAGAAACAAACGCATTAGTTTACACAATAATTCGTATTAATAATCTCAGCATTCATTTTCTACAAAATGTTCAAATAAGAGTATCAAATTTTCGGAATAAATGGTAATAAAAAACACTTGATTACTCAACAATAACAATTGTCAAATTTAAGGAAAGTCAGTCAATACGAGGCTTATTTATTTTAGTTATAATTATTATTCAGAAAGATTAAATTCACTCAAAATTGTCACTTAATTTCGATATAATCACAACATACAAACTATTTTTTGAAGAAGTTGTCACATTTGACACTTGTTAACGAATCATTTGAAATAAATCAATTTTCTTATTATAACACCATAAATATTTTTTTGTAGAGCAATGTGTTCGAAGATCAATTACATACATGAATAAACAATTACACAGCATAAACATAGGAAGACGACGTGAATCTACTCATTATTAAATTATTAACGATAACATATCAACTGCAAATAAATATTGAAGTTTAAGATGTGGTTAGAATACATTTAAAATTCAGTATCGAAACTTATTGTCATTTTCAGTAATAATTAATTGACTATTTTTTTAACTATAGAGAAAGTTGCTGACAACGCCAAACGGTGGCCATTATAGTTATAGAAATATAATAAAATATGATTGGTTGTTGTAATATACGTGTAAGTTAAAAAATATTTTGTCTCGATTACTTACTGGTAATTGATTTGGCTAAATAACCGGTAAAATACATTTCCAATAGGAACCTGATTACATTTTGTTGTGCAGTGTGATGCCTCTAGATGCATTCAGCAGATGACACTACCTGCCAGCGAAGCGCGAATTTAAATTGTAATTTAGATTATTTTGAATATTTTATTTATTTATAATTTAAATAATGAAAATTGTCTGAATCAGAAAGTTTGTTTTATGTTGCAGAATAATTATTATATAGAGTATACTTTGTTTAAAATAAATATAATTTATTATCGAGTACAAAGGAACATTGTAGTTGAGTTCCGAGAAACCTTATAGGTACTTGAGACTGAGGAAAAGTCATAAAAGACACGTGTGAGAAAAATTTTATGATTCCTTGTTTCAACGACTAAATAATAACGTAACCAATATGTAACTAAAAATAAGATTGTTAAATAACATATTTTTGTTGAGCTTGCTTTTATATAATATTGCAATGAAATATATTAGAATAAAATTAACAATTCATATTTTGTATCCAACTTATAAATAATTACTAATTAATGTTAAATGAATAAGATTTTATAAAATAATATTATTAAATGATATTTATCTTTTATATAATCTATATATGGGGCATTCCATACCAACTCATTTTGCATCTCCGATTTCGCCGAAATTTGGACACTTTTTTGTACCCCTCGAAAAAGGTTTTTATGAATTTTTTCAAATTTTTTTATCCACTCACCCGGAAGATATGAATTTTGTAAGATTTCGGAGATTTTTAACTTCCCGCTAAGAAAATTGAAAATTTTCAAAAATCGGGAAGTTATTGATTTTACCCCGTTTTTCGAAAATCGAGTTTTCATCAGTTGTTAATGTCTTTTTCTACCTATGGGTATTGCTGCAGATACTTGCAGCAAATTCAATTGACAAGTCTTGAACAAGCCTTGTACAAGAACTTTCGGCCAGATCATAGCTCAAGAATTGTTTAAGAAAATTGAATAAATCTGAAGATGCTTATCGATAAACTAACTATATCAATTCTTGAAAAAAACTGACACGAGAAGCATGCTGAGTATACTTGTGCAAGACTTGCTCAAGATCTGCTCAAGATCAAATGTTTTCGAATGACCGTTAGCATCATTCTACCCCTCCTATATTTACTATAGGATCAGTCGATCTCATTCAGCTTAACCTTTTAGAGTATAGACCTACTGTTTTATCGATCAAGACAAAATTATTTTAAAATGAGCACCACTGAATCAATAGATCTTCAAGTAGTGGAAGGGAAAAAGTGCTATAAAATATATAATGCATCATGCATCTTGAGCAAATCTTGAGCAAGTCACGCTTCAACATTTGCTGTTAGTTTTTGGTTGACAAATGCTTTAGAAATGAACAAATTACTTAGAATTACGGATCTTGAGCAAATCTTGAGCAAGTCATGGGTAAGTGTCTGTTGTGAATTTCTGATTCAAAAAATCCGTCAGAAAGTTTTTCAATGCACCTTGCACTAGACTAGTCTCATATTCTTCTACAAGATCTCTTAAGCTAGTTATATATAAATCTTGAACCAGTTGTTTCTATATAAACTTGATCAAGATCCATATGTAGAAAAGGACACTAGCAACTAGGGGTTTTGCTCAAGACACTGGCACTTAAATCGTGCTCAAGCACATGTTACCTGAGACAGAAGATTCTTACCAAATTTAGACCTTATAGTAGCTACAGCTCGGAAATTTTTAATTTTCATTGTTGACATTCACCCCCACAACCCCCTGTGGGAGTGAGATATATCATATAGAGTTATTATAAATTAATCTTCACAATATTCAGAAATGTAATTATCGGTACTGTACTTGGTAATAGGTTTCTAAAAAAAATCATCTCACTCAATTTTTTTTCTGTAAAAGTAGGGGAACGATTGGTATTATGTTAACAATAGTTTTTCTGAGTAATATAAAAGTGAATGCAGTTGTCCGGGGGATAAATAAAAACATTTTTGACGTGAGAAACAACTTTGCCATGAAAAAAAAAATTTTTTTTTTTTCATCATTTTTTGGAGGTGGGCCATCTTGCCCCCAAAAAAAAAAATTTTTTTTGGAACTTTGGAAAAATTCCGGTGACTTGAGACAAAGTTGGACGAGAGTAAATCCACTTGATAGTAGAAAGCCACAAAAAATAAAAACCGGCTTAAGTGGGCAGTCTTGCCCCACCCTCCCCTAAACCTCTTATAACTTCTGAACGGCTTGACCGATTTGATCGCAGTTGATGTCATTCAAAAGGTCTTCACCAAACTTAGATTTCCTGTAAGTTGGAACCAATTCGAACCAGTAGATTTCGAGAAATTGCAAAAAAAGTGAAAAAAAAAGTTTTTTTTCAATTTTTTTAAATATCTCCGAATTAGCTGAACCGATCGACCTCAAAAACTAATCAGCTCTTAACCTTTAAAACTCGCATCGATCGCCACCAAAAGCGTCAGAATCGATTGATGCGTTCGTGAGATATCGCTGTCGAAAAAAAATCGAAAAAAGCGTTTTTTTGTGATAACTTCGAAATTTATCATCAGATCAATTTTTTTGTTCAGAATTATTTATAGGACTCAAAAAACTACATCGATTGCCGCTAACCGCGTGCAAATCAGTTGATTCATTCAAAAGTTATTGCGGTTTATAAATTTGAAAAATTTTGTTTTATTAAACTTCTATCAGACTTTTGAGCTCGAAGAGCCTAAACCGCGGAAAAAAGGCGGTATGGTAGAGTCTCTAGATATGAGTATCTTTTCGGACACCACCCAGCGCTTAAAAGTTGAACTTTTGGAGCGAGTATAACAAAAAAATATTTATGTATGTAATATGTAATATTTAAAATATTTTTGTAAAACACATAATTGTGATACAAATAAAACTCATAACTAACTATATACATATATACATACATATATAAACTTTTGAACCATATGTATTTTCTGACTCAGCTCGTCAAGTCGGAATATAGCAAAATTTTTCAAAAGTTGCGTCATGAGGACCATTGCAATAGTTAGATTTCTATGAAATCTACTAAAAAATAATATCTATTTGAGTAATATATTTACAATTACCCTTGAAAATGAAGAAATAAAAGCTCTTACTTTTAAATTTTATTTTTGCATACTGTACTGTTAACTAATATGAAAAAAGAGTGTACAAATGGCTAGTTTTACTTGCTTGTATGCGCAGCTTCTAAATTTCATTAATTAAGTTTGGTAATCAAAATATTATTAATAACTATTAATTTACAGTAAATGGTCTTCAACTATCGATCGAGAGGTCCAAGCGTTGAGTTTGATTTAATTTTTCTATCCCTTCCAGGACAGAATTGCAAATGAATTTGAAATTACGATATATGTCCATTATTACTATTCAAATATCCGTTAACATTGTCAAACATTTGTTCCTCTGTGGACCCAATGTAATAATATTTTAGTCAAGTACTTATAAAGCATGCAACCATACTTCGGCAGTCGTGAAGTTATATTCTAGTACAAAAATGAAAGTTTGCAGTCACATACGATTTGTTGGGGGAGATGCTATACCTAGAGAGGGAATTCTTAGCATGTCCTGGTATTTTCCGTTAAACAACAATGATGCAGCTTTGCAGCAACTATATGGTACGAAAATGACGTGCAACAATGATGCAGTTATAGATAAAAATTTCAATTTGTTTCTAAAAAGAACATTTTTATTTTTACTGAGGAACTTTCAAATGAAACGATTAATTCAAATTAAAATTATTTCACAGAATAAATCTAAAAAAAAAAAAATGACTCTGCAGACCATTTCTAAAATTTTTTGCTATTTTCCAACTAAAAACGCTTAAAACTATACTTTTTCGAACCGTTTCGGCATATAACGCACAAAAACATGTTTTTTGGTTATTTTTGAGTTCATCTTTCTTTTCTATATTTTGGATCATTTGCGACATTTGAAGAATTTTTAGCGAGCGAATCAGCTGATTTATAGTCGGTTTACAGTATTCAACGTACTTTATTCAGTGAATAAACAAATCAGATCTAAGAATTGTCATAGTTATTAAAAAGTCATTTTGTACTCATTTTATTTAAAAAATTTTTAAAAATTTACTTGACCAATTCAGTTTTAATTTTTAGACAATTGAAATATAATGAAACAGATTCGAATTCAGCAAATTTCCAATTTAGGATTTGAAACATTGCTTTTTACTTTTGATTTTTC